AAGTTACCAGAATGTGGTTGTAACATGAGGGATTTTAGAATGAATGAGGGCTGTGTTCCTTTTAACAGATGTGGAATATGGTTCTGAATCCCACAGAATATGAATGGAGCTTCTGAAATAGCTGCTGGGTTTTGGGGGTTGGTTTTTTTTTTTGTTGTTTCCCTGTCCCTGTTCCTCGCCCTCACGCTCTTCCCTCCTCCCAGATTTGTTTATACATTTATGGAGTGGGGTTGTATTGCTGGTTAGTAAAAAGTAATAGATAATACTTCAAAATACTGCCTAGCACAAATATCAGGAATGCTCAATGGTAAATGAACAAAAGAAGTGAAAACATTTTATTTTTGGGTTATAGTCCTATTAGAAAATGAACTAACTGTGTATGTGTTGCCAAAATGAAATCTGCTTTGACTTTTGCCAGGTCATTAAAAACACTGTCTTGTCCCTGCGTTGTAGTAGTGGAAATGGTTGTGGCTTTGCTTTCATGTAACTAGGAGCATTACATTGTGAAGCTAATTTCAGCATTTAATATGGTACCTTTGGTAACTACTGTGGAAGTAGTTTACAAAATGGGCAGAGTAGTCCTCCAGGATTACTGAATGACTCCCAAAGGTTTTCCTTTCTAATAAACCTCAAAAATTTCCTTTCTTCTGCTCCAGATCTCCTCTTTGAAATGAACAGAATTTCATTCTGCATTAATTTTTGTGCCACTGTTGTTTAAAAAAAAATTAAAAAAAATTGTTGCTCCAACCTTATAATTTTTCTGTAAGTGAGGTTTATTTACTTAGAAGACCTTTTCATTATGTCCACATCTGGAGGTTAGATGGGGCTTGGAGCAACCTGGTCTAATGGAAGGTGTCCCTGCCCATGGCGGAGGGGTTGAAACTAGATGATCTTTAGGGTCTCTTCCAACCCAAACCATTCTGTGATGCTATGACACTTGCGCACTAACAGCATTTAGTTCTGAATATCAAACTGTTAATCCTAAAGTTATAGAAAGATGCTTCCTTCTTTTGGTTGAGTAAGCCTAACAACTGCAATACAAAATATTAGTTCAGTTTATAATGCAGGCAGCAAATCTCCCAATTTAATTACTAAATGTTGGTACCTTTATTTTATAATTATTTCTGCGTGTGAATAGCTATTTTGTTAATTAAAATGGCCATTTTTCCATAAAGACTGTCAGAGAGTCAGCCTGTTGTGCCAGCCTGAGACCAGACGATTGAGGCCACTGAGTTTTTCATAGGTGGTAAGTCAGGTATTGCTGTAAATGTGATTTTGCCAGTGAGCCTTTTCCATTGGTACCTCATAACTGGATGAGAGGTTGAATACTAGATGCTGGTCAGTAGATGGCCCATGGCACTGAACATTACTTTTGCAACCCTGTACCTTACATATTTTGCTGTAGGTGTCATTGCCATTACAGAGTTGGTAATGCTGAAGAGCCACCCATATTTCAGTCATTTGAGCTGCTCAAGTGTGGATCCAGGTTTTACAGTAGGCTTCATCACCTCTGCCAAATGTTCCTTAACGGTAGTAGGCTTAGCAGAAGTGGCTAGTTAGAACTGGTTAGAACTGATTTGCTCTGTCCTTAGCAATTACCTCCTAGTTTTATTGTGGCTGTATTCAGAGTCTGCTCACTGACGTAATTAAGGTGCACACACAAAGTCCTTAGGAGAATGAGAGTGCAAGGTTCTTTTGTTTGACGTTTTGAATTTTGTTTAATAACTTTTCCTCCGTAAAGATTTGTGATATTAGACTTAGCAAATAAATCTCATTGGCAAAGGAGGAGTTAAGGACAAGAGAGACAGTGGCCAAAACAAAGATAATTTTTTATTCTTTGAATTACCTCTCAAAAATTCCAATATTTCTTTTAATTGAGAAAAAGGATTTGGGTAGATAACACCTGTGTGGCAATCATACATTGGAAGCAGAGGGGAAAAAATGAATGCTTGAAGTGACTAGAAGGAAGATAAATTTGTGACTTTAACAAATATAGTTATGTGTCACCTTTTGAGAATATTCTGTCTCTTGACCTAGTCAGTAAAATATGTGGTCTATATTTTGGCAGTAATGATTCAACAGATAATTTCCTGAAGATAAATGTACTAAATGTATTCTGTGCAAGTGCTTACCACAAATGCCACTGAGGAGTAAAATACACTTTAATATGTAATGTGCTAGGACTGTTTATTCTGATTTATGTAAAAACTCAGGCCAGCAATCCAACATGGCTTAATCGGAGTGTTTTATTCTCAACTGTAAGGGTTCCACTGGCAGTGAAAAAAGTTGGTGACGGGGTTTTGTTTTCAAACTGAATTGTATTTGAGTAGTACTTGTGTTGACTTCTGAAAGCTGACCTCCCAGGATTGCCTTTCTGAGGGCTGTAATTTATAATGTAGTGTTAGCATTTTACTTAAAGTGCTTTGTCTCACATGTCTCAAATGTATTCCAGCATATCTCTATGTTCCATCTCTCTCAAGTAAATTAATAGAATGCAAAAATTAAATACTGCAAATTTATTGAAAGAACAGCTATATTAATCTTATTTTTACAGGTATAAGTATTAAATATCTTTTACTGCTTGATTAAAAAGTTGTTTCACTCTTTTTCTGATGAGTGCTATTGGTGCTGTTACCTGGAGAGCAGAGCTGTGCTAGCAATGTCCTAGAGAAGGACTGTTGAAAAACGTATGCTTGAATAGGGGATAGCTACAGCTTTGAAACGAAGTCCACAATAGACCATGCAAAATAGGAAAGAGAGTTATAGAGTAAGAATTGATGGCAGTGATAAATCTCGGGGAAAATGGCTATGGTACACAAATAATGCATGATGTATTACACTTTCCTAGGTTACTTTGTGTTTCATTGCTATTACTGTTAAGGGCTGGAGCCCTGCAGTTGCATTATCTGTCATTAAATTCGAACTATGGTCTGCTGTGGTCCTGAGATACAGTATGATGAGGTGGGCACTCACAGCATTTTTCTGCTTTTCTATATCTGAATTTGTAATGTTCAGAGGAATTTTTCCCTCTTTGTGCCCATATATTTTTGACATCTGGTGGTACTAAGTGAATATTACTGAAAGTTTGTTAATGAGGATTCTGTCTTTCCAGCAGTAGGTTCTTATTGGAGAAGTGAAGCAAATCCTACAGCTCAGCCAGAATGGAGCTAATTGTTGAACTTCTGGAAAATTGCAGTGAAGATTTTAAGAAGAAATTGTAACAGGTGTTTTTTGCTCGTTATCATCCTTCATTTGGGGGAGAACAAGAAAAGGCTCTCCATGACTCTCTTGTAGAAGCTGCATTGGATAAGAAAGAATCACACTGGTGCTAACTAATTGGAAATGTAGAGAAAATTAAAAGTATGGTGGGAAAGGCATTGAGCAATTACAGGAGAAATTTTTCTGTTCAGTGTTAGTCAAGTTTTATGAGGATGACTGAAACTAAATTGCAGAAGTGTATTGAGAGTTGGCAATGAAAGGGAATGTAAAGTTAACTGCAGGTCAGTGCAGAGTATTACAGGTGGAGAACAACTATATGACATGCACTCTGTCTTTTAATTACTTACAATACAGGTAACACCATTATGCCCCTTCATAAATCTAAGATTTGGCAGCACCTTAGTATTCGAATTTTTGGTACTCCAGGTGTATCTCAGAGGTAAACAGAGCTGAGAATATTTATATAGGGTCAAAGGGATGATCAAGCTAAGGAATATCTTCTGCGTGAGAACTGTTGGACTCTAGCCTAGAAAAAGTACAGCTCAAGGTGAATATATATGGTGGGTTGACAATGTCTGGCTTCTAGGTGCCCACCAAATTGCTGTATCACTACCCCTTCTCAACAGAACAAGAATATATGATGAGAAAAATAATGGGTCAAGATAAGGAAAGGGAGATCACTTACACATTATCATCACAGGCAAAATGGATTCAGCTTATTAAAATTAATTTGTTGTCAATTAATAAGAGAAGGACAGTGAGAAATAAGAACAAATCTTTAAATAACCTTCCCTCCACCCCTCCCTTCTTCCCAGGCTAAACTTCACTCCCAACATTTCTGCCTCCTGCCCCTGTGCAGCACAGGGGCATGGGGAGCAGGGGTTGTGGTCAGATCTGACACTTTGTCTCTCCTGCTCCTCCCTTCTCGCACTCTTCCCCTAGTTATCCAGCCTGGGGTCCTCTCACAAGATAGTCATTCACAGCCTTCTTCAGCATCAGTCCTTTCCTTCCCAGTTCTTCAAAAACTGCTCCAGCATGGGTCTCTTCCACAGGGTACAGTCCTTCAGGAACAGCTGCTTCAGTGTGGTTTCATGTCACTCCTCTACATTGTTAACATTCTGTAAATGGGCTTTAAGCATATGTACATGCAAAATATTACATGAATGATGTAAGTTCATATATAACTTTAAAATATACATTTGTGAGTTGTTGGGCTTTTTTTCAAATAGGATCAGTAATTCCCAGAGTATTGACAGTAATGAAAGTATTTTTTGTAATTTTGCTTAGCATTTTTTCAACCAGTATTCATGTAACGGTGGAAATGTGAAACTGAGTAATATGTCCTAATGATAAAATTCTTCCCCAAGTTCAGTAATAGTGCAGGCTTTATTGTTAAGGTGTAAATGGTTCATAAACTTTCTACCAACTTCTCAGTGTTAAAGAATTTTATCCTTACATGAACCAGATTTCTTTCTTTTGTACTCACATATCTTGCTTGTTTTGTAATCTGACTCCTACATACAGGATGCTTAGGTTAAACACTGTAGGATGAATTCTAAGATACTTTTACCAAGTAAACTCTCCCAAAACCACCAATGCAAATATTTTGACTAAAACAGTGTAGATTATAAAGAATGGAAAATTTAAAAATGATCTACAGTTAATGGTGACTCTTGTGCATGCTCAGATGGAGTGCACATCCTTCTATGTGTATTTACAAATAACTGCCAAGATTTGCAAATGCAATACTTCTGTCTCTCTCCTCTTTCCTCCTCTTCCAGGCACAGGAGACAGTGGCAAGAGTATGTTCATTAAACAAATGAGGATTATTCATGCATCAGGTTACATGGAAGAGGACAGGAAGGGCTTCACAAAACTGGTTTACCAAAATATATTTACTGCCGTGCAAGCGATGATTAGAGCCATGGATACTCTCAAGATACAGTACACATGCAAAGAGAATGAGGTAAGACAGGAAATAGAAAATTCTAGTTTTAGTCCATGAAATTTCAGTCTGTACTCAAATTATTCGAGTCCTAACCTTCTACAGGCAGAACCTTAAAAGTCCATGTGTCTTTGGGGAGTTTTGTGCCCTGCTGTCTGATTCTACACAGCAGGTTGAGAACAACAACTACTGGAAAGAGAAGCAGGATGAGAACGGGTGGGATAGAGCTGCCTAGGAAGAGAGGAATTTTCAAAGTTGAAAGGTGGTAGTAAGTACAAAAAAAATAAAAATGTTTTTTGAAATCCAAGTTGTAGATTTAGAATGATAGGAATGTGCAGGCAGAGCCTGGTGTTCAGTAGAGCTCCAGAACAAGGAGTTTCAGGCCTGTTGCAGGGAAACATCAGATCTGCTTGACACTGGTGTGCTTTGAAACATACCTCCTCGAGCCCTTTTGTGTGTTTGGTCGCAACCTTTATGTACTTAAAAAGCTTGAAAAAAGAGGCTTTTCCAACCATTTTTTAGTTTCTGTGTATGTTATAAAATCACGTTTTTTGTTTCAATGCTTATGATTTATAGAAAAAAAAAATCCGCTTCAGTTATATCAGTTGCATCCTTCGCATCCATCTGTTGCATCAGTTGCATGGGTATCATGAAGAATATGTAAGCAAATCATTGAGACAGGTTTCCAGTTGGCTGAATTTTAGTGTTAAGTTAGGGAAGACTGTGTAGGAAATACCAAGGCAAAAACAATTTGTAGAATTTATAGGTTTATCTGAAGTACTGTATGACAAAATAGCCTATTTTTCATTCAAAAAATACACTGCATTTGAACAATACAAAAAAAAAAAAAATCAGATTTTTTATTTTTTAAGTTGGTTTGTGTTACTCATTCTCCTTAGGGTTATAAAGAAGAGGGTTAGAAAATGTTTAAAATAAAGGACTGGGAAATTAAAATTCTTTTATGTTTTTACCACAAAAGAACAGATAGTGTTAGCAAAAATGAATTTTGGACTTCGGAGAGCTGAGTTATTAGGGTAGTTCTTTCCTATATGAGAAAACTTTTCTGAGGGTTAGTAAGTTGTTGCTTGTAAAAAAAAATTTAGATCCTTAAGAAGGCAGCAGTTACAGAAACACCAGATGTGATGGTGAATATACTTTGTCCTAATTCAGGTTTGTATCTTTTGATGAAAAATGCTTAGAATCTATTTGGAGGAATAAATTTGCACTGCCTCTTCTATATGTTTTGGGTTTTTTGTTTGGTTTGATTTTTGTGGTTTTTTTTTTACTTCCTATTAGGAACAAAATAAAAGGACTTAATAATTCTGGGCTCTGAGAGCTGAGCTGGATGCGTTCCCGTAACACACTATTCTGGCTAAATTATGTTCTTGATGATAAGTGTGCTGGTGGTGTCTTCAGATTCAGAAGATTATAATGCTGTTTTTCAGTTGCAGGGAGGCAGGATTTAGTCTTGTGCTTCTTTATTAAAGGTAACAAACTGCTAAGTGGTAAGAATACAGCTTGGCAAGCTCAGCTTCAGTGGCAATTAGAAAGCAAAGTCATTTTTGCTTTACACACAGAGAAACTCTTGAGGCACAACATGAAAATAACCACTCCAGTCGCTCCAGTCACTTTGCAGGAGACTACTGCAATTTAATCCTTCATTTCGGTGATGAATATAATGCAGAGTACAATAGACGCTGTAATTGCCTTAAATTAAAGGATTTTAAGCCTGTAATGAAAAACAGTTGACAACAACAGTGATAAACAGAAGAGTTGTGAATCTGCTGTCATAATTATATTGCAAAGGTGTGTCCAGTGGCTGTACAGAAATAGTCCAGCATGCTTCTCCGCATTTCAGTATGTCTGTCGTCTTCATGGCATGTCTTCTTTTTAATGAAAAATTTGTTTCCCTCTAGCCATGTTATTAATTTTTGTTTGTTTGTTTTTCATGTATCCACTCTGTGCTTTGACCAGGTCAGGTTTTCTCGTCTGTGGGCCCTGGCATTATGTGCCAGCTGAATATCTTCATTTGATGTTTTTGTAGTGAAGAACAGATAGTTCTGTGTAGACTCTCTTCCCTGTAAGTATGACATATCTCAAAATCTGTAACTTATATATGGATAGTCTATCTTAAAGTTTGCAAATAAAAGCAAGTTCTGTAGCAGGTGTTTGAAGATGTTTCTTATTGCTGTTTTCAACTGCAGGTATTTAAGTAAATGGCCTGACTTTCTATAGATGCTGCATTGAGATGGGAAGGGGGTTTTGTTTTGTGTTGACTTGAAGTGTCTTGGATGAAGTACTTATCTATATAGTCATGCTTGACCTTTAATTGAGCAGGCAATTTTTACCCTAATTTCAGGTGGTGTGTTCTTTGTGATAACTTTGTCTCACCCTCAATTTGAGGTTGGAAGTTTTGGGTAGTAATCTTGTGTGAGGGTTTGGTTTGAATCTGTGTCTTCTTTCCATATGATAATAGGGATTGCCAAAAAGCAAAATGAAAGTTGATTGCAGCCTGTCCGTTTGCTTCTTTGAGAATTGTGATTGAGTTAATGTGAATATTAAGTACATGAAAGAAGGGAAAGTGCATGGGATAGCTGGGAAGTAGTGAAAGCTCTTTTTTGCTGTACAAATTTATTTTTTTTTAAATCAGTTTAACTTGTAGGAAAAGAAAATCTCAAACACAAGGAAAAAGATACCAGGTGATTCTGGAGGAAGGGAAAATACAGCATTTCATTTGTGAGTATACATCAGTCTTAAAAGGCAGATTTTAAAATATTTATTGGTTGCTTGACTTTGCCAGGCAGTCACATCTTGTTGGATTATGATAGTTTTATGCTGTATCAGAAATAGGCAGAAGAAACAAGTTATGTAAGCGTATTTGAACTGGAGATGCAACAGAGATTTTAAAATACTAGTTCACTAAAACTTTTCCCTTGCCTTCCAAACTAACACATAGTCTGTATCACAAGGAAATTACTCTCTTTTCCTTCTCCACTTAAGGCAACATTAAAAATTTCAGATTATTTGCATTTAAAAAAAAGAGGAAAAGTATGCACTTAGCCCACTGGGAAGACCTTTCTATATAGCTGTTCAGGATAAGGATCATAGAACAGGAATGATCCTGCTCTTGTGGGTGGGTTTGTTTTTTTAAATACCCTAGTAAGATGACAAGCAATGGTACCTACAGCAAAATAGGTAAGGTACAGGGTTACAAAAGTAATGTTCAATGCCATGGGCCATCTATTGACCAGCATCTAGTATTCAACCTCTCATCCAGTTATGAGGTACCAGTGGAAAAGGCTCACTGGCAAAATCACATTTACAGCAATACCTGACTTACCACCTATGAAAAACTCAGTGGCCTCAATTGTCTGGTCTAAGGCTGGCACGAGAGGCTGACTCTCTTGACAGTCTTTATGGAAAAATGGCCATTTTAATTAACAAAATAGCTATTCACACACAGAAATAATCATTAAAGATACCAACATTTAGTAATTAAATGCAGTTAACAACAAATCTTTGTAGCAGTATGAACATTTAGTTTTTTCCTAAGGAGAAAAACAGAATTCTGTGGAAAACTCCTTTCAGAAAGAAGTCATTATGTTGCTTCTCCAGAACATTCCTTGTTTTCAATAAGTACTAATCTGGTGTCTTTCCGTCTCACAGAGATGTTCCAGCATGAGTGTGTGTCAGCAAAACTAGTATTTTTCTGAACAAAAGGAGTACTGCAATGCCAGATCAGTTGTACTGGACAGGTAATTAACTTACGTCAGAAAAAGGGAATGAAAAAACACAAGTACAGTAAAATGAGATTTGGGGATTACTGAATGAAGCCATCTAGCTGGGACAAATGGAAAACACAGCAAAGAGTAATTATTGGTTGATTTCATTCATGGTGTTTGCTCAGTCACAAAATATGATTTAGCTGCCCATGCATGAGCATGTAGCACCATACACTTAGACATTTGGATGCACATCAGACCTTTTGGTTCCTCCCTGGAAGGGCATAGGGTTTTCTTGTTATTTTTTGGTTTTAAAGTGATTTTTTTGAGTGAGAATATGGCCTTATTCTAGAGCAGAAAGATGAAGTATCAACTTTGGGTGATTAAAGGTGTGTGCTGCTTTACATGAGCAAATATAAACATGTTAATACTGAATTAGCTGCTCCCCACCTGGAAGTCAGTGGAAAATTTACCACTTCTTGGATGACAACCTTCACTCACACACATGATATGTACGTGTGCTCAGTTGAGACTGTATGCATGCATGTTTGTTGATGTTAGAATATATGGGACTTTCTGAGGATGTATGGGGAGTTTTTGTTTGCTTGTTTTGTGTTTGGGTTTGGTTTTTTAGGACTATATTCATCAAAATGCCTTATTGTATGTACAGATAGCCAGACCCCGAATGGGACTGTTTCCAGTAATATCACTGCCTTAAATACTGGAGTTCTTATTCTGGTCTGTCATACTAAAAATGTGTGCTTATAAACAATAATGCTAGTTGCTAATATTATTCAGAGACCTGCGGGAGCAAGCTGTATGGGCCCGTTAATATATGGACCATTTTCTTTAAAAACTTCTGAGCATCTTTTCTATGCCATCTTGTTGATGGGGGTGAATACTGTGACTTGTTTCATTTACTTATCCCTGACAATACTAAAAATTGAATTTAAATAAATGTGAATGGCTACATTTAGGGGGTTGTTTTTTTTTTTTAATTTCTTCCTTTTCTTTGATAAATTCTGAATTTGCCAGCTGGCTGCTGTCAGATTTCTTTCCTAAATTGTTTCTAGACATACTGTCCTGGGTTCAGCAGTAGCAGTCGTGTTTTTCCTTTGTGGTAGCTGGTGCAGTGCTGTGTTTTGACTTCCAGCCTGGGAACAATGTTGGTGAAACCGATGTTTTCGGTTGTTGCTAAGTGATGTTTACCCTGACCAAGGACTTTGTGAGGCTCATGCTCTGCCAGGGAGGAGGGGAAGCTGTGAGGAAGCAGAGACGGGGTGCCTGACCCAGGCTAGC